TATATATATATATATATATTTAATATAAAGGTTCTTAAGAAAGTCGTTCTCTCAGCTTTGAATAAGGTAGCTTTATTTTGTTAAAAATATTACTGACATTATCAATTAACAGCGGAGTAACGAGTAATCGGAAAACGATGAGATACTTTCTTTTACACATCGTGATCGTTGAATTCCGGCGGTGTCGTCTCGTACTTTACAAAAAAAATGTTCTCGTTTTGCGTTAAAATATACATGTCTATATGCACGTGTTTTGTGTGTGTATATGTATATATATAAGTGTGTGCCTGTGTATCGTGAAAGGTGGCTGCGATTGAAATGCGACGAGATCATTGAATCACTTTATTGTCACACGCCATATCTGGCATCAGGGGTATCTTTTATCAGATATATTATACTGGATACAGTCACTAACGCTTTATATTTAATCATTCCGCGTATAGATCCCGCCATGAACTCCTCGTATCGTAGCAGTACTGCATTTCGAATTTTTTACCAGCTAGCCGAACCATTGAGATATATACAGAACTACGATTGAAAACGGTTTCGTGTCAAGGATCTGTAGCCGATCTGTATCGATCCTAGACATTTCCCCGAGAACGAAAGAAAAAGAAATCGTCGGAGGAGTTCCCGGCCGAGTTCTTTTTATTCTCACGGAACTTTTTATCTAATCGTATTGTTTAAATTCTTTCGCCTTTGTATTTCTTAATTTTTTCTCTCTCTCTCTTTTTAACGAAAATGACGCACCTTTTTTCGTGATATTCCACACTCTCTTCCTTTCTCTCTTCCTTGCTTTCTCGCCCGTACTCCTCCGTGTTCCTTTTCGAAATATATCCGGACGTATGTCACACAGATAAATTAGAAAACCGTCCCAAGCGGTTGACGCATATGTTTCGAACGGTGCGAAGTTGCCTCATTGATATTCGAGAATCAGAACCGCGTGATCTTACGATCGATATGTGCATCGATTCCGTCGCGAGCGACCCGCGCGGGAAACTATGGGAATCAACAGTATTAGAAAGTCACGTGATCGAGGCATTGACGAATTGGAAAAAGTCTATTTGAGATTCCTTAGTTCCGTCGAAATGATCCTATGGTGCAGTGTTTCTTTGTGCGTGACTTGTCGAAATCCATTAACAAAAGCAACGAATTCGAAGCACATTATTGATCGTATTAATCATTCGACGCGATTACAGGAACACCTATACTACGCTGGATCGTCTCTACGAAATTTTTAAGTAAGTAATGAATTTCATTGTGTAAAGAAATCGTTGACAGTGTCCCTTCGTTTTTAACGTTTTTCCTTTCATCTATCTCTCTCGCTCTCTTTTTCTGTTCTCACACTCGTTCTTTCTCGCACACCCTATATCGTAATCGTAAACCTAAATTGCCTCTCTAAATTTGACAAAAGTGGTACCCCTTGGCTCTCAAATTTTCTGCATTCCATGTAAATTGTATTATTTACTCGTTCTATCTGTCTTTGCGATTAATTTATTTCTTTTATATTTTCACTATTACGCCCCCTTTCTATCTCGTTTCAGCCATTGTTGTTTTGTCCGATTCGATTATATTTGTTCGAAAGATTTCATTTTTTTTTTGTCTTCCTTCAATCTTCTTTTCGTTTTCGTTTAAGTTCATTGTAAGTATATAGGTACAAAGTTGGATATTAATTTGTTCGTTTTCGTAATTAATACTATTTGTATGTATATGTGTATATATAATATATATGTGATTCACGATGCGTGTTCGATCCTAAGATTGAGCATGCCTATGTACAAATGGGCATGGCAAGAGTGTGAAAATTAACAAGTTCTATCTTGACTCTCTTCGCGTTATTTCTACACTTAAAACTTTTCAGCTATTTTTAACAATTTGAAATTGAAATAATAAATAAATTATGCATTTCTTTTTATTTTATGTCAATTTAAAAAATTTTTAAAGTTAATTTATTTAGTAGAATATTTTTAAAAAATATTAAAAAATATTTTTAAAAAATAATAATTAATATAAATATTAAATAACAGTTATTGCGAAGACAGTCAAGGAATTAAATTAGATCAAATCATACGAAATTAAAAACAATGATATCTATCATTTTTTCAAATCCAGCCTGCTTGTTTTCATTTTTGATACGTTTACCTGTTTTACAATTCTTTTCAAAATTTCTAACGAAATTTTCTACGAGAATTTATCGATGTTTTTAATTCTCCAAATTACCTAATAATGCAAGTGTAGAAAAAGTAAACTCGTTTTCCTCCTTCCATTCTTTTCTTTTTTTCTTTCGAAATTTCTTAAAACCGGCTACTATAAATTATAAAAATCCTACGTTTGTATAGAATATGCATTATTTTATATCATAAGCATTAACAGTCCGCAACGATAGGATTTTCGCGAAATTTTTTTTATATAATTTCATCATGACTATTATAATAAATTGCTAAAATTAAAGAATTGAAAATTTTAAAACTATTTCAATTTCGTCAAAATAAATTTTTCCTTTGTATCGTATTATAAAATGAAAATTAATAAATAAAAGAGAATAATTGCAAGAAATTAGAAATTAGAAATCGAACAAATTTCGCGAAGAATCTTACAGTCGCAAGTAACCGGCAGATTACAAACTGAACATATTATAATTCGTAGTCTTGTATTTTTTTTTTTTTTTTTCCCTTATCGAATGTTATTCACTAATACAGAGTTTATATTTTGTTGTGTGGTTAATTACGTACATCATTGTTCCAAGAGTCTACTAATATAAGTCATGCACTTGCAAAATGTTTTTTTTACTTAGAAATCGTCTTAATAGTAATTTTTTTTTCTTCGTTTGTTCATTTGATAATTTACGTTACACGTCATCTGATAGAACTCTACGTTTGGTTTGTGTTCGCTTTTTTTTTTTTCTTCGTTCACGAGTAAAAAAGCTTCTTTTTTTCGATTTTTTTTTTTTTTTTTTTTTTTATTCCCTTGCTGCACGTTCTGTCCACTAAATCAAGCGTGTTATAGGTATGATAAGATATCGCTTCTTTTTTTATACATCCTTCTCGTAATAATGGTCGATCGATTACCCGGTTACCAGATGGTTTAGCCTATCTATAGAATTTGTCGCGAAAGAATCGAGTTCCTCACTATTTTTTATCCATCTCATCTCAATTCTGTTTTCGAAATTAAGCCTCACATCGTGATAACGTATCATTGTTTCGCTCGAACTTGCTTAAACTATATCTCTTTGGAATTTTGTAGAATTTTCACGTGGTAATAGCGGGTAATACGATAGAATGCAAATGCAAGAAGGAAATAGACTTGTCGCGAGAATTTAAAGCATAGTAGCGTGACACCGGATTTTATAAGCGTAAAATATGTGATGAGATATCGATAATGAAGTCACTGACATAGAAAAACTTTCTAAAGTTCTAATTTTAATATACGAAAATCCTTATTCAAAAGTTCCGAGGAAAAGTATAGATTGATATACGAAAAAATTAGATTCGGTTGCAAATTTTAGACCCTCGTGTGGTACCTACATAAGTAGCTATTCTGCAGTATCTCCGAAAGAAAAATGGTGACTCTATTTCAGTGACGTCGATCAATATCCAAGGAGTACCTTTTAAAGAGCAACAAACGAGGAGTGAAGCGATGTAAGGGAACGAACTGAATTTTCGTGATGAAAAAGGACGACAATAACCGTGTTTCTCAACGAATGCGTATAACGTGCAATCCAAAAAGCAGAACGTATTTGTTCGAAGCAATTAAACCGGCAGATTTCTTTTTAATCTCTTCGACTCGAATGGTTTCTCTTATTCGCAATTTTTCTCTTCGAATAAAAAAATTTCTTCTTTTCTTTTATCCCAGTTTATCCATAATTTTTTTTTTCCCCTTCTTTCCTTTCCTCCCTCCTTTCCTTTCCTCCCTCCTATCCCCATTTTCGCAAAGAGAATTCACATATTGCAAGCACAATCAGCAAAAAGAAAATTACATTCGTTAATCAAGTGTTTAATGCTATATAGATAATTATCTACGTACACGTGCATGCTCATCGAATTTTTGTGTGTTTCACAAGTGACCAGACAAATGCACAGACAAAGATCGAACACATAACATGAGAATTAAGAGATATAAAATCGATTGTGAGTTTCACGAATCGCGCCCCCCCTCGTTCCTCGTGGACGATGGCGGGCGCCGTTTCCGCTTCCGTTCCCGAGAGGTTCGTCAGCAGTGATGCGTAATGTTAATTCATGGAT